TTAACTTTCAATGATACTGAGAAGAAATGATAGAAAGACCATGTAAAGGCTATATGAAAAAACGCCCTCCCAAGACAGGCAAGAGGCCAGTGATGCAAGTGCAAACTGGCAGTGCTTCTAACTGGACATCATGTCTGGAGAACAGTACACACTACCATGCAGTCACCACTGAAAGAACTAAGCCGGGAGAAGAGAGACATTGCTTCAGCGCTACACAGAGTGACCCTGTCTGAAAAACATGTTGTCCTCCCACCTCTACATGCTGTGGTGTGCACCCTGTCTCACACCACACATATAATGATAACAATAAATAAGTAAGTGTGTAAAGCTGTCATGCCGTTAACATAAATAGTTTTATATCAATCTGTATGTATCTCAAAAAGATAAAGAATTTTCTGGGTGGTGGTGGCACACACCTTTAATTCCAGCACTCAGGAGGCAGAGCCAGGAGGCCAGCTTGTGAGTTCGAGGCCAGCTTGGTTTACAGAGTGAGTTCCAGAACAGTCAGGCCTATGACACAGAGAATCTGTCTCAAAAAACAAACTCAAAACAAAACAAAGAAACAAAGAAACCAAACCAAAACAACAACAACAAAAAAAAAAAAAAAGAAAATTAAAATTAAAAAAATTCAATTAGCCAGGACAGTGGCCCATGGCTTTAATCCCAGCATTTGTGAGGTAGAGACTGGTATCACTGTGAGTTCAAGGCCATCCTGGTCTACAGGTCTACATAATAAGTTCCAGGACAACCAGAGCCACTACATAAAAGAGACTCTGTCTTACAAAAAAAAAAAAAAAAAAAAGAAAAAATGGGGGAGGGGCAATGACAAACAAATAAATCTAATTAACCAGGGTACATGACAGCAATCTCAGTACTTGGGAGGAAGAGGCAGGAAGATCAGAAGTTCAAAATCAACCTCAATTATATAGCAAGTTCAAGCCCAGCCTGGACTACATGAGACATAATAAATAAGGAACACTGTCAAAAGGGGATGACTTCAGGGCTCAGTGGATAAAGGCACTTGTTGCCCAGCCTGACAGCCTAAGTTTGATCCCTAAAACCACATAAAGGTAGAAAAAGAAAAATGACTTCACAAGTTGTCTTCTGACCTCCATACATATATCACAGCACATTGTATACCCCTCCCTCAGCATCACACGCACACACAAAAACATACATTTAAAAACATTTTTAATCTTTATTTTTATTTACATGTATAGGTGTTTTGCATGCATGAATGTATGTATACCATATTTATGTAGTGTCTGTGGAGACCAGAACAGAGTGCTATACCTCCTGGGACTAGAGTTACAGTTCTGAGCCACCATGTGGGTGCTGAAATTTGAACTTGGATTCTCTGGAAGAATAACCAGTGCTCTTAACCCCTAAGCCATCTCTCTAGCCCCTTTAAAAAAATTTAAAGATTATCTAAACTGGCAAGAAAAAATATGAATTCAGGTGAACATCAAAAGAAATACAACTCACTGGGTGTGGAGGCGCACACCTTTAATCCCAGCACTCAGGAGGCAGAGGAAGGTGGATCTCAGTAAATTTAAGGCCAGCCTGGTCTACGGAGTGAGTTCCAGGACAGCTAGGGCTACATATGTCTCAAAAAACAAAAACAAACAAAAAAGAATAGGAAATTAAAAGTCATTTCACTATAGATCATAGCATAAAACTCAAGGCCAGCTGGACTGGGACTGAACGAGCATGTGATCAAACCGGAGTCTTTAAATGTGACTGACATGGGGGCTGACTGAGAAGCCATTGTCAATGGCACTGGGTCTTGTTTTGTCTTCATGTACTAGCTTTCTGGGATCCTAGTCTGTTTGGATGCTCACCTTCCTAGACCTGGAGGGAGAGGGGAGGAACTTGAACTTCCCACAGGACAGGAAACCCTGACTGCTCTTAGGACTGGAGAGGAAGGAGGGGAGGGAGGGGGGGGAGGAGAGGGAGTGGGGAGAATAGGAGGGTATGGGGAGGAGGGGAGGAAGTGGAAATTTTTATAAACAAATAAATTAATTAATAAAAAAATAAAAAAAACAAAAAAAATAGAAAAGAAAAATAAAGCCAGGCATGGTGGTACACGCCTTTAATACCAGTGCTTAGGAAGCAGAGGTAGGCAGGCAGATTTCTGAATTCTGAATTCTAACATTGAGGCTAGCCTGGTCTACAGAGTGAATTCCAGGACAGCCAAGTGTACACATAGAAACTCGGTCTCAAAAAAAAAAAAAAAAAGAAAGAAAGAAAGAAAGAAAGAAAGAAAGAAAGAGAAAGAAAGAAAGGAAAGAAAAACATACAATAATCAAGTTCAGTGCATTCCAGGAATATAAAGTCAGTTTAACATTATAAGAAGAGCATTTCATTAATTTAAACAGTCATTGCTACTATATACACTTTTAAAAACCTAGGGCTCAAGAAAATGCCTTTAACTTGTTTTTTGTTTGTTTGTTTCTGTGTTAATGATTAAACCCAGGACCTTGTACATGTTAAGCAATACTCTACCATTGAGATATAACTAACAGGTCCTTAGGGTTAACTTTTAAAAATTTATTATATTTATTTATTGTATGTAGCAGGGTATGAGTGTGCCACAGCACATTTGGTGGTCATATGGGTTCCAGGGATTGAACTCAGATTGTCAGGCTTGCCAGAAAGCGTCTTCACCCACTAAGCCATCTCTCTGGCTCCTTAGGTTTAGAACCGCAGACATAGATCAGGTGGTACAGTACTTGCCTAGCATGCATGTAGCCCTGAGCTTGATTCCAGGCAACACAAACAGCATGCAATGGGACACGCCTATAATCCCAGCATGGATAATATAATCCATGGTGGAGTTAGGAATTCAGGGTTATCCTCAGATACACAGTGGGTCTGAGCTCAGCCTGAGAAACAGGAGAGAGAACTTGTGGTTATGATCAAAAAAATGCTTTATATATGTATGAAATTCTCAATGAATAAATAAACAAATTAAAAATTAGATCAAGCCGGGAGGTGGTAGCACACGCCTTAATCCCAGCACTCGGGAGGCAGAGACAGGTGGATCTCTGTAAACTCAAAGTCACCCTAGTCTACAAAGTGAATTCCAGGACAGCCAGGGCTGTTACACAGAGAAACTCTGACCTGAAGAAACAAAAATAAATAAAAAATTTAAATTAAAACCCCAATAACCTTATAATAAACATCTTACTTAAACATGAAACTTTTCTTCTAAGGTAACACAAGGATATTCACAATTAGCACCTCTAGTCAATATTGTACTAAAGGCTCCAGTCAATTCAGTAAGACATGAAAAATAAAAGGCATATAAATTATAAAGCACAAAATAAAACTGTCAGAAATTTGGGGCTGGAGAGATGGTTCAAAAGTTAAGATTACTTGCTCTTGCAGAGGACCCAAGTTCAGTTCCCAGCATCCACATGGCAGCTCACAACCGTCTACACTTGATCTTAGCCAAAAGGCCAAGAAGCAAAACAACTGTCTATAACTCTAATCCTGGGGGATCCAACACCCTCTTTGGACTTCCATGCCTGTGGTGCACATACATGCATGCAAGCAAAACACTCATATACTTAAAAAAATGAGATCACCATTAATTACAAATGATAAGATCTTGTAAATAAATAAAACAAAAAGATATAAATTATCAGAATTAATAGCCATTTTATTTCTCATCAATAAAAAGGGAAAGCAGAGTGGATGCTCTCCAACACATGAATGGTTAAACTGTGGTTCACCCACACCATGCAATATTACATAGTAATTTTAAAAAAGGAACAAATCAACTGGGTGGTAGTGGCACACACCTTTAACCCCAGCATTTGGGAGGCAGAGGCAGGAGGATCTCTGCGAGTTCGAGGCCAGCCTGCTCTACAAGAGCTAGTTCCAGGACAGAGTCCAAAGCTACAGAGAAACCCTGTCTCAAAAAACAAACAGGAACAAACCATTGATACACAACCTGGATGACTCTATTTTAACTTGGATGAAATTATACTCAGTAAAAATGCTGAGTCCTCCAGTCCACAAAGCACAAGGCTGGAGATAGAGTTTAGTGGTTCAGCTCTTGCCCTGAGTTCAGTCTCTAGCATCATAAAATAAAAATGTGCAATTTAAGTTTGACATCAGCCTGGTTTATACTGCAAGTTCCAGGGCAGCCAGGGATATATAAAGAAACCAAAACAACAAAATGTACAGTTTATGTATTAGTGTAACTCCTAAAATATATTTTAGGATTTGTGTATATATATATATACATATATATACATATATATGTATATGTATATGTATAAAGTATATGTATTTCCTAAAGAATAAGGAAAAAGCAACAGTATACCAGAAGAGGCTCAGCCAATCTATCTTATAACCAAAAGCAGATACTGTACTGGCTAGTTTTTTGCTTGTTTGTTTTTCAACTTGACATAGAATCATTTGAGAGTCAGAACCTCAACTGAGAAAATGCCTCCGTAAGATCAGCCTGTAGGCAAACTGATAAGCCATTATTTTCTTAACTGATGATTATTGTGGGAGGGCCCAGTGCATTCTGGGTGGTGTCATCTCTAGGTAGGTGGTTCTAAGATACATAATAATAAAAATAAAACAAGAAAAAAAAAAAACCCTGAGTAATCCAAGAGGGTGCAAGCCAGTAAGAAGTGTTCCTCCACAGCTTCTGCTTCAGCTTCTGCCCTGATTTCCTTTGTAATGGACTGTGATATGGAACTATAAACTGAAATAACCACTTTCCTTCCCCAAGCTGCTTTTGGTGTTTTATCACAGCAACAGAAACCCTAAGACAGAAATTGGTATGAGGTTTGTGGGACATTGCTGATAGACCAGACCGTGTTTTGAAAGAACTTTGGGTGAGAAAAGCCAAGGAGTGTTCAAAGCTTGATGAGCTGTTTTGTGGGGACTTAAAAGAGAATGTTGAGAGCAGTGCAAACAATGGAGGCCTGCCTTGTGAAGTTTAGGAGGAGCTTTGAGAGTTCCTTTAACATTCAACAGGGGTGCTTGCTTCAGCAGCACATACACTAAAACTGGACCAATATAGAGAAGATTAGCATGGCCTCTGCGCAAGCATGACATGCGAATTTGTGAAACATTCCATATTTTTTTTAAAAACTTTTTTTAAGATTTATTTATTTATTATATACACAGTGTTCAGCCTCCATGTATGCCTGCAGGCCAGAAGAGGGCGCCAGATCTCATTATAGATGGCTGTGAGCCATCATGTGGTTGCTGGGATTTGAACTCAGGACCTCTGGAAGAGCAGTCAGTGCTTTTAACCTCTGAGCCATCTCTCAAGCCCCAACATTCCATATTTTTAGGATGCTGAAAGGTAGCTCTCCACAACTGATGGCTTCTGGCAGCAGTGGGGGTGGAGAAGGACTCACTTTTTTTTAAGGGGCAGGGAGTTTGAACACGCTCCAGTGAGTATATGGACAACACAAATTGGACCTTCTTTCTTTCTTTTTTCTTTGGAGGGGGGAAGTAGTGTCACAAGGGTAGGGGGTGGGCCTTGGAGAACTAGGAAGTGTGATCAGGGCTCATGATGTGAAATTCCCAAATCATCAATATTAAAATTAGGGAAAAAAAGCTCCATCAGAGTTATCAAATATATTAAGAATCTGTGGTTCTGATCAGATGGAGCTGAAAAATAAAAAAACATAACCACTGACTAAAGCAAAACCTTTGCTTCAGGGAGGTGGAGAGATGGCTCAGAGGTTAGGAGCACTGGTTGTTCTTCTGGAGAACCCAGGTTCAATTCCCAGCATTCACATGGCAGTTCACAACTGTCTATAACTCCAGTAGGCAAAATACCAATGCATATAAAATAAAAACAAATTTAAAAAAACCCTTTGCTTCACTGAAATAATTGGTGCTGGTTAGCTAGAGCTAAGAAGTCAGTTGTGATTAAGGGAAGAGCAGGGGCTGGAGAGGTGGCTCAGCGGTTAAGAGCACTCACTGCTCTTCCAGAGGACCTGGGATCAACTCCCAGCACCCACATGGCAGTTCATAGCTGTCTGTAACCCCAGTTCCAGGAGACCTAAAACCCATGGCAAAAAACACCAATGCACATTAAATCAAACAAACAAACAAACAGCAGCATCACTGAGGCAGAGTTCTGGGAAATATTTCCTCACGGTCAGTGTGCAGAGAGCTTTGTGCTATAGGTAAGACTTTCCTAGGTGGTACTATTTTTTTTTTTGGTTTTCTATTGTATATGGATGTTTTTGTGTACCCGTGATGTGAGTTCAATTTCCATAGAGCTGAGAAGAGGCCATCAGACCTCCTGGGACTTCAGTTACAGATGGTTGTGAGCCTCCAAGTAAGTGCCAGAAACCAAACCCAGATCCTCTGGTGGAGCAGCCGGTGCTCATAACCTCTGAGCCATCTCTCCAGTCCCTGAAACTGGGTTTAAAGCCATGAAGGAGTCACAGAGACACAATAAGGCTTTAAGCATCATGTAGCAAGGTCAAATCCCTGAGAAAGCCCGAAGGAGGCTACTGATGAAGGTGTAGTCAACTGCAGTAAAGATCCCAACATTTTGGAGATGCTAGTACCATAAGATGACCACCGAGGACAGCAGCAGGTGTGGAGACAGCCTGAGACTGTGTGTTGCATTATGTGTGCTGTGGCTTGCCCTTTGGAGTCCAGAAGATTATGAGTCCCAGAAATCTGACACTGAGCTTTATACAGTTGGACTCTGGTTTGATCTGACTCTAACTGTGCTCTGGCTCTTCCCTTTTTAAGTAGGAAAAGATGTAACTTATTTTTTATTTATAGGAGTGCAAAGTCCAGGGGGTGGTGGTGCACGCCTTTAATCCCAGCACTCAGGAGGCAGAGGCAGGCGGATCTCTGTGAGTTTGAGGACAGCCTGGTCTACAGGAGCTAGTTCCAGGACAGGCTCCAAAGCTGAGAGAAACCCTGTCTCGAAAAATTTTTAAAAAAAATGTGGGGGGAGTGCAAAAGTTGAGAGACTTTGAAAGTATAATGATGGGGAATCTCTCAGCCAAAGAACTTTAAGGGGTGGGACCATGTTAGGGCATGACTTTTCAGGTATCCAGAGAAAAATGCCAGGCAGCCTGGGGTTTGCTCTCTCTCGCTCTGTGGTTCCTGCACTACACAGCTGAGCTTGGACTTCTCATTCCTGTTTCATGAGTTTGCCCCTTATAATAAAGAAAAATATAATTGGTCTATTTTTTTAATATTTATTTATTAAGTATACAATATTCTGTCTGTGTGTATGTCTGCAGGCCAGAAGAGGGTACCAGACCCCATTACAGATGGTTGTGAGCCACCATGTGGTTGCTGGGAATTGAACTCAGGACCTTTGGAAGAGCAGGCAATGTTCTTAACCTCTGAGCCATCTCTCCAGCCCCCATACTTGGTCTATCTTGTAGCTAGCCTGGTATTTCTCGACCTGAGATAATTCAACAGTAGCGCCCAACGTGGGGCTCAGGTACCCCGTGGCTCCAGTCAGCCACTGCCAAGCTCCCCATGGTGCATTTGGGTAGGATCCCTATGCGACAGCAGTGTCTCAGAGTTGCTTTGGGTCCCCAGACACCTGCAGCACAGTTGGCTTGTGGGTCCAGCTTTCCCAGCACGCCCTGGAAGCTCAGGCGGGGTACAGGCATTAAATTCTTGGGACAGAATTGAGGAACCAGGAAAGAGAATTAAATCATATATTAGGGTTAAACAGGGTCAGAGAGAATCCTTTAGTGACATTTTACAAAGATTAACTAAGGCTGTACAAATAGGAGTAACAGACCGAGAAGCTAGACATGTATTAATTGAATCTTTGGCTTTTGAGAATGCCAACTTAGAATTCAAAAAGATTCTTGGGCCTTTAAAGGTCAAATCAATACCAATAGATGAATTGATCTTATATATAATAAATGTTGAGACATTTGACTATAGTACTGAAGTTTGGGCAGGAGAAGCAATTTCCAATAGTAAGGGAAACACCAAAATGCCAAATGTTTTAATTGTGGTAGAACAGGACATCTGAGAAGGGATTGTAGACTAGGAATTCCTAGGAATAATATCTCCTCTGGGAAAGATATTATAAGGTATTACAGACAAAGGTCGCCAGCCATTCAGGCTGCACAAGAACATAAAGCAACTGACAAACCTTCAAAGGTACTAACGGCCTTGCCTTTAAAATGGTTAACTGTGTCCATCAAAATCCCAGCAAAATTTTTCAAAGACCTCAAAACAATGGTTGGTACTCAACTTCATTTGGAAAAGCAAAAAACCCAGGATAGCCAAAACAATCCTGGGCAATAAAAGAACTTCTGGAGGCATCACAATCCCTGACTGCAAATTCAACTACAGAGCTACAGTACTGAAAACAGCCTGGTACTGGCATAAAAACAGAGAGGAGGACCAATGGAACCAAATAGAAGACCCAGATATCAATCCACACATCTTTGAACACCTGACTTTTGATAAAGAAGCAAAAAATATAAAATGGAAAAAAGAAAGCATATTAAACAAGTGATGCTGGCATAACTGGATATCAACATGTAGAAAAATGAAAATAGACCCATATCTATCACCATGCACAAAACTCAAGTCCAAATGGATCAAAGACCTCAACATAAAGCCAGCCACACTGAACCTTATAGAAGAGAAAGTGGGAAGCACATTTGAATGCATTGGCACAGGGAACCACTTCCTTAATATAACCCCAGCAGCACAGACACTGAGAGAAACAATTAATACATGGGACCTTCTGAAACTGAAAGACTTTTGTAAAGCAAAGGACACGGTCAACAAGACAAAGACAGCCTACAGAATGGGAAACGATCTTCACTAACCCCACATCAGACAGAGGTCTAATCTCCAGAATATACAAAGAACTCAAGAAATTGGACACCAAAAGATCATATAATCCAATAAAAAAAATGGAGTACAGACCTAAACAGATAACTCTCCACAAAGGAATCTAAAATGGCTGAAAGACACTTAAGGAAATGTTCAACATCCTTAGTCATCAGAGAAATGCAAATCAAAACAACTCTGAGATTTCATCTTACACCTGTAAGAATGGCCAAGATCTACCAAAGAACTCCTACAGCTGATAAACACCTTTAGTAACGTGGCACCTTTAGTAACTCCAAAAAATCAGTGGCCCTCCTATACACAAAGGATAAAGAAGCTGAGAGGGAAATCAGAGAAACATCACCTTTCACGATAGCCACAAATAGCATAAAATATCTTGGGGTTACTCTAACCAAGGAAGTGAAAGACCTATTTGACAAGAACTTTAAGTCTTTGAAGAAAGAAATTGAGGAGGATATCAGAAAATGGAAAGATCTCCCTTGTTCTTGGATTAGGAGGATCAACATAGTAAAAATGGCAATTCTACCAAAAGCAATCTATAGATTCAATGCAATCCCCATCAAAATCCCATCAAACTTCTTCACAGACCTTGAGAAAACAATAATCAAGTTTATATGGCAAAACAAAAAACCCAGGATAGCCAAAACAATCTTATACAATAAAGGAACTTCAGGAGGCATTACCATCCCTGACTTCAAACTCTATTACAGAGCTACAGTATTGAAAACAGCTTGGTATTGGCATAAGAACAGAGAAATCGACCTTTGGAATCGAATAGAAGACCCGGATATTAACCCACAAACCTATGAGCACCTAATTTTTGACAAGGGAGCTAAAGGTATACAATGGAAGAAGGAAAGCATCTTTAACAAATGATGCTGGCATAACTGGATGTCAACCTGTAGAAGGATGAAAGTAGATCCATACCTATCACCATGCACAAAACTCAGGTCCAAATGGATTAAAGACATCAACATTAATCCGTCCACTTTGAACCTGATAGAAGAGAAAGTGGGAAGTAGTCTACAAGATATAGGCACAGGAGGCCTCTTCCTAAGCAGGACCCCAGCTGCACAGACAATAAGAGAAACAATGAATAAATGGGATCTACTGAAACTGAGAAGCTTCTGTAAAGCAAAGGACACTGTCAGTAAGGCAAAAAGGCTGCCTTCTGACTGGGAGAAGATCTTCACCAACCCCTCATCAGACAAAGGTCTGATCTCCAAAATATACAAAGAACTCAAGAAACTAGGCACTAAAACTCTA